AGAAATCTTCAGAGAGGAAAACAGGTATATATTTTTCTTTTTAGTGATTTAATATTTTGAGGGAACTTACTGTCCAAATATGTGATCATTAATACTGTATGTGTTCTTAAGCTGTGGGAGAACTTTTGTGCCAATTAGTAATTTTAAGGGAATGCAGTGGAAGGAGTTATAGTACAATAATCCTTGTGGTAGGATATTCTGGATCAAAATTGTCTACTGAGATATAGTAATAAACCCTCACCACCAGAACAATTATCTGTGATAATGCTCCTATGGTGTGTTAATACTTTTTGGACTGGTGTTAAAGTTGCTTGCTCTTAGCTTAGCATTTAGTATTTTATTATTTTCTGCCTTCAATAACCACATTCAATTTCAATCTTAATCAAGTTGTAATACATTTTCACAGCACTAGCTGGCCATAAACTAGTGCAGGCTAAGCAAGAAAGCTATTAAACAACACTTTCAGAGAGCGCTTTCTAGTATATACCTGCTGAACTCAGTAAAGGAAACACAGTTGGGGGAACCTCAAAGACTCAATCAAGTTTTTGATAACCAGGCGAGAAAAGTGGAGGGATTTGGATTGTCTTTATAATTTCTTCCATATTTTGTGTGACAAAATCGAAATTCTTTTTGCTTCTTATGAATACCTTGTCAGAATGGGACAGTCATTTTGATATCAGAATGATATTGGTGTCCAAGAGTAATCTTGTTACTGTCATTGCTTTCTTGCTGATTCCGTGACAAAATTATTGTTAATAACATGACTCATCAATCAGTTCTGTTTCTGACTAGGTTTGCTTGTAGTTTGTAATTTCAAGTGCCTTTAAATGTGATAAGTCCATAGAATTTATAGATTTGTATTTGGATCAAAGATGCCATGGTGAACTATGCCTCTCAATATTTTAATTCTTTTTATACCGATGAAGGTTGATTTGAATTATGCAAATACAATGAATGGCACAGGCACTATCTCAAGGCATCTTTGTGCCCTGTCTGGACTGAAAATGCTCGTGGATTTTTACAATTTGTTTTCCCTGTTACTATTTTAATTTTGCATACTTCCAATCTTTCTCTCTTCATTTTTCTACCATAATAGCAAATGGTTGTGTGGTTAAACACTTTGTAGGAGTAAAATTCCTGTATCTCTGTGAATGTAAATACAAGTTCTGTAAACTTTTTTGTAACAGACTTTCTTTCATACAAACCGAGTAAAGTAAATGTGTAAATAACTTAATTTTTAGATACATATTTGGTTTACATCTCTACGGACTTAGATATGGCATCAAGGATCCAACTTTTGTTCAGTTACTTGAGTAATAGAGCAATATTTTCCCTTTATCATGGTTGGTGTAAGGAAAAGTTTATGTATTATTATGTATATATTCATTGCGTAAATTTTATCTGTTTTCATCCAATACTTTGTTTTGCCATATTGACGACATGACAGCGATGTCTGTGTGTTGCAAAAATGTTCTATATTAAGTGATGGCAGCCCTGCGCTTTGTGTGAAGGAGCAATTCTCTTGAAAATTGTCTATATTGTATTTTGGTATTGTTCATATGGAACAAAAGATTATTTTGATTATAACGATCTCACTTGCTGCTGTACAATCAAGTTGATTATAAAGTGTTTTTTGTTGTCTTGTACAAACCAGATTTAAATTTTATATTAATAATGCCACTGTACAGTGAAAAAAATATTTGTATTTTGTACATAAAATATTACTTAGATACAGCAGCTTGGTCAAATAAATTACTTTTAAGCGGTGCAGATTGTTGTCAATGCTCCCAAAACTAAGTTAAATTCACAGCTGAGCTAGGCCATTTTTCTCCTCAATCGGTTTGTCTGAATGAGCAGAATTGCTGCCCACCCATCAGATTCCAGAGAGCTCAGAATTTTTACTCTTGATTACTCTGTACCTTTAGGATGATCCCAATGTGAACTTCCCCACAAGTTTTAGAACAATGAAGGTAAAATTAAATTCGTAAAAATGTTAAATTAAGAAAAACAACACATTGGAAATCTTCCGCACTGACCCCTAATTAATGCTATGAGTATACCCAAGGAGTAGTAAGACGTCTTGGGGACATGGATTGGCCGAAATAACACAGAATAATCAGGATCAGAGGTAAATTTAAATGTTACTATTAAAAATCACAATCACTTTTACATTTTACTAACAGTTCTTATACCAAGAATATTGAAGCACTTTTCCATGACAGTTGCTGTAGCCTCACAAAGAAGAAGTCGGCCAATATGAATAACCTTGATTTCACCTGTAGATAAACCAAGATACAGTTTAGAGGACATAATTCCAGAGACAAAACAAACTACAAGTTTGAGATTACATACCCGTGGAATCTTTTTCAACACAGTAGCAGCTGTCATAAAACTCAGAAAATGCAGTGGATAGGTCATAAAGATATTCGCACAAATGATGAAGACATAAATCTCGGGTAATCTTCTCAATGGTCTCATTGAACCGCAGGATGACCTGATTTTAAAAAATAAATAAAAGTAAACATCATGATTATGAACATCTCTCTGTTAATCTTTGAGAACTTAGAGCTCTATACACTTGTAAAGTTCTAACCTTTGCTAAATTCCATTCTTTCTCATGGTCAAGAGAAACAGGGGTGGACTTAGCGGCTTCTTTCATACTTTCAGGGGTGTGACCAGCCAAGCGGGCAATCGATCGTATCCTGGTAAGCATGTATAGGAGGTATACTGCTGTGTTCCCCTTGTCCTCTAGCATCTGTATAAAAAAATTGGAAACGGGTAAAGATAACATACATAAATAAAACATTTCTACTTACTTGAAGGCTCCATAACAGTACCTTATCAAATGAGAATACGTATTCATGAATACGGTTGTGAGAGAGGTCAGCATACTTAATACAGCCATAGGCTAAAGCTTCTTGAGCTGTTTTTAACTCTTCTGGAGTAAGGACTTGATCTCGGCCTTTCTCTTTCAGCTTCTCACCAACACGTTTCAGACCTAGTCAGGCATTAGGTATGAGAAATTAAGGACATATTCTGACTAGCTAAGTAATGAACGGCAATGAATGAATCATGAATGCCTCTCTGTTGTAACAAGTGTTGCATTTAAAAGAAAAAAGGAAAACTGGAATTCAACATACCTTCATCTAGCAAGGCTGCAAGTTTGACTGTTTCACCAGATCGTGTTTTGAACTTCTTTTTATCCTCACCAAGAACTACACCAAAAGATACATGATCCATTCGAACCTTTTTAGGATCCATTATACCTGCTTTGATAGCACATGCTTCCAAAACTTCAAAATGAGTTGCCTAGGGGGTATAAAAAGAAAATGAATTGCTATCACGATTCCATAATTACATATCAGCCTCCCTCAACGTCAATTGCACCTGAACTTCTTTTATTCAAACTTACTTGGCCTGCATCCACAACATAAATGATCCAATCAGCCTTTTGTTCATGAATTCGATAGTTAATAGTGGCCATGTCAGAAGTGTCATAAGTGAATCCACCATCTGATTTTACAATTGTAAAAGGGATTCGATCGGTTCGACCCCACATAACCTTACGCCCTTCATCTTCCTCAAGCAGCCCTAAAAGATAAGATATGAAATGTTCAACTATTTCCATTAATTTTACAACAACTAGGGTATATATACTAACCTTTCTGTTCCAGCTCCTTCACCAATTTCTCCATCCGAGTTTGATAAAAGGATTCTCCAATCTCTTTGGAAGTAATGTCAAGTCTGGTGTATATTTTCTGAAATTCTAAAAGACACCAATAAAATATTAACAATATTGAGAGTGGCCATCTAAAGTGTATGAAAATTGTAAAAATTATATACCTTTGCGTGACACATCACAGATAAGCTGCCAGGCTTTTGTATAAACAGGATCAAAACTTTGAAGTTTAACAACACATTCATAAGCTCTTTTCTTAAACTCTGGATCTTCATCAAAACGCTTTTTTGACTCTCTAGGAAAATAATGGAAAAATCAAAGTTAAATTCAAAATCGGTGATAAAGGATTTTAAGTAATGACAATAGGTGTAGTTCCCAAAATTAAATCTTACTTGTAAAACTTCTGTAAGTCACTGATAGGTGGGGATTTAGTTTGGTAGTCAGGGAATATATCTTGGAGATGAGCAATCAGCATTCCAAATTGTGTACCCCAGTCACCAAGATGGTCAACTCTGATGACATTATGTCCAATAAATTCCAAGAGTCTGCTGGTGCTCTCACCAATAATGCCAGCTCTGCAATGAAAAACAATTTACGATAGATTTAATCAAATTTCTAGGGAATTTTAGAACAAGAGAAAATTACTAGTTCAACAAACCTAAGATGTCCTACATGCATGTCTTTGGCAATATTTGCTGAAGGGAAGTCAACGACAATTGTGAGTTTGCGCTCAACAGGAGGAAGGTGCACCCCTTTTAAGAGCAGATCACTTAGAGTACGATGACCAATAGAACGATCTAGAGTGATATTAATAAAACCTGGACCAGCTATTTCTAGCTTTTTAACCCAAGAAAACTCTGGCACTTCACTCACTAGTTTTTGAGCAACCTCACGGGGATTTGA